CGTTACTCGCCGTGTGCAGTCATGCGGGGCCGAACGCTCATAAATGAACAACTTGTATGAGCGCTTGTGCCGACGTCGGTACACTCACCGGTAGGCACTTATCGCGTATCATTGAGCGAGTGACGGAGCCCTAACATGGCCAGGTTGCACTGACAGTGGTAAGTAAATGCCCTTATAAAAGTAGTATAATAATAAGGCGCACATACTCATTGTCCCGGGCAACCCTGTATCCTATCCTGTATACCGAGACCTCTGAGTGGCAGTTTAGTATGATAATCACACGACCACGAAGCCAGTTAAATTGTTTAATCGCGTTTGTTCCCGGTTTGAAAAATATTTCAAACGAAAAGTTTAAAGGCGCCTTCAAATTTGAATATTGTAATTATATAACAGTAAACCAAAAGCTATTGAAAGAAATACATTAAACTGTTACAAAAAATAGCCTCATCAACAGATCACTCATGCAACAAGTGCAATATAGTAACACAATTAAGTAATTAACAGAAAGAGCTTCGTCGGCAAACGACATACATGGCACACTAAGAAAAATCTATCATAATGTATTAGTAATAAAGTTTTAATCATCTCCTTCGTACTATACCTAATAATATTTACAAGCGCAGTTGCAGCGCCACTGTCGTGACACGCGCGTGCCGATTTTGCAGTCATAATTAGTGAACTAAAAACTGCTGCAGCGCGTTATAAAGCGTCTAATTTGAAGACTTCCTAAAAGTGTATAATTTATTTGACTATAATATCTTTGTGACACGAGTAACACAGCGCCTCTTGTTTTCACATAATTCCGTTCGTCAATTGAGGTACGGAATTTTTTTACGGGCAAAATTGAATTTGAAGTCTTGCGTCTCGAGAACTCCTAATTGAGTTACTTACTTAGTAATATAAGATATTGTTCTTGTAGTATTGCCGTTATTACGCCGGGTACCTCGATAAATGGTTTCTAAATTTATTACGATCCTACACAAACAAAGGAATGAATACCCGTCGATTTTCTACAAATATCATCGACATTCACTTTTTACAATCCATCTATGATTTCTCACGTGCCAATTCATCTACAGCCAATTTTTTCGTGCGAATGATGGTAAGCTACACGCCTGTCCATAACAGTTGCAGTAGAGCTCCTTGTGATAGAGTTCGTCCAGGCTAGTACTGCCATCTTTCCTATTTCTGCCGCCAAGCAGTAATGTCAGCATTTCTGTGTTCCGGTTTTGGAGGGTAAGGGTGCTGGCGAAATTACAGGGACACGGGACATGCCAAGTTATGTCTCAGGGTGACGGGCGCAGTGGCAGTGCCCCTCAGATCTTTGCGATTTGAAGCTCTGGTGACACTGCAATTGTTATGGACAGGCGTGTAGCTTACCATCAGGCGACTTGTTCGTCCCGTCACTTGACATTATAAAAAAAGTTGCAATGCCACTCAGAGCAGAAATAAGTAAGGTAAGGTAACAATTCTACTGTCACTAAAATGTACGTGATAATTATGTATGCAAATACGACATCGTTCTACCAGATGCCACACAAATTTGATTTAAATTCCATTACATTTAAGTTTATTTAAACAGAACAATCGTCACTCTTGCTCGTTCTTCTTAGGGAAGTCAGCACAGCGAATGAGTAGTTGCTTAAAAAATGACATTTTGAAGAACTAAAAACAATTGCAAAAATCATAGTTAAAACAATTCGTTAGCGTGTTCAAATGTCTTAATTACAAGTTTGAATAAAATAAATTCATTAGGTTTTACAAATTATAATAGCAGCCTAGTGGAAATTAAACCATATTTAAAAGAAACTGTAGTGACTAATTAGTATGCAACCGGACTGATATCTACAACTATCAATTTCTTAACGTTGAGCAACATCTAGCAACCAAAAAAGAAATTTCAGTACCTACGTACGGATTTGGTCCAAATTTAGGTCGTGTAATATCAAATGTACTGATTCGACCGATTTGTAATAAGCTAATAAAAGATTAACTGCTTCATTGCAAAGAATAAATTTGATAATTTCTTCTCCAAAATGCCAAGCGAGAAAATAATAAAACTGACAAAAAGTTCTCTAAAATCAGGGACAGATGGCACGTTTCACAAAAAGAAAAATTTTTGTCCGAGTTACCAGTTCAATAGTCTATGGTATGTTTTTAAATATACTACAAAAGTTTCTAGGATGATCCCTGTGACACTTCACAAAATTGTACATGATATAACCTTGTAACGACGTCCACTAATTTACGTATTGTATAAACTATTTTTATAAGTCTCGCTTTTAAGTGAATAATATTTGTTTAAAAATACATAAAATTAAAGTAAAAGTAACACAAAATTAGTGAGAAATGAGCAGAGAAACGATTTTTTATTCAAAAATTTATTTATTTTCACGACAACGTAAGAAGGTTACTTCGTTAGACTGAATTTGCTAGAGATGAGGTATAGGTATCGATAAAAAGTGTTCGATAATTGAATGAATAAATATATAATGCGTACACGAATTTCACCAATTACATATTTAGTGATATGATTTTAATGTTTTTAATTTACATTATGAGTCAGTTTGAGAAAATTTATTAAAATATCAATTGAAAAGGCATTTTAATTTAGTTAATGTTTTATGCCTTTAGTGCGATACAAAACACTTTATACATCTATTCAAAGTTTTCGTGAGGCTGGAGACTCCATTATTTATTTTATTTCTTCACCGGCACCTACTATATAGAAATAACGGATCGGATATCAGAAATAAAATAATAGTAGTTTATGTGACTGTTACATAATTAAAGGCTTTAAAATATGAGTGAGGGTGTATCTCATGAATGTTTTAATGCTTAATTATGTACAGTTACATACACTGCTTTATCTACACACATATTATAAGGCCTCTGTGATGTGTCCAGGAACCGCATGTTGCGGCTGGCGAAATGGCGGCAAATAAAAACTTTTCTCACGCATGTCACACAACCGTAGTTTTTATTTTTAATTAATAGACAAACTAGAATCGGCGCCAACTATCACATCGTTCGATATCAAGTGACGTGTGAAATTGTCAAAATTGTTTGCTATTGACATTTCATTTCGAATAAAACTTCATCTCAACTGATATTAGAATTGAGGTCCCATCAAATTGTTTTGTTTTTCAGAGATGTTCGTAATTTGAACGTAATAATAACATCGAATTCAATGTTATTTTGAAGCAATAATAACATTTTCACAGATAAGAAATTTGTTCTAACAAAACAGTTTCCCTTTATGCTGATCGTAATTTGCGGTTTTAACACATTATAGAAACTTTATGATGTGTAGATAAATATTATTTTTACACAATTCATGGGAGTTCATTATTTTAAAAACTACAAGGCTGTATAAGTATAAGAACCTTTGCTTCAAAAATCTATCGACTTCACCTCATCCCTGCGAAAACGTCAAATAATGTGTCACAGGGGTCATCCTAGAAAATTTTTAGTATAACTCAGTTTTTTTGTTATGGCTTAACTTCTGGCCTTTTACAACATACCATACCAGTATACAACATAATTTCCTCTGAACTTTCACCACGTCACAAACCCACGGCACCACTCAGCTTTTATAAACTCAGTTTAAGGCTTCTGTTGTTTATTTTGATGTAATAATACACCAAATATATTTTATTCAATTACGTAACACATAACCTCCAAAACTTTAAACTGGTATATCTTCAATTCCTGTCTTCTCAGAATAGTAATCCCAAAACAAAATTCGTTCAGGAATTTCTACTCTTTTTTATATATTTTTCATAAACAGACGCATAAAAATTATGTCAACAAAAATTTATATGAGAGTTTGCCAATGTCCTGTAATTTAGCTATGAATTAAATGATTACATGATTATGTTATGAAGATTCAGCTATTCCATTTAGAGCGCCCGGATTGTGGGATGCGAGACGCGACCACCCACACCTCACCTTCAAAAATGTAGGCTTGCGTTGAAATACCTCGCCTTAATATGAAAATTAAAAATCGTCATTTTTTCCTAAAATTATTTTTTGAACTTTAAAAATGTGTGTTGCAAACTAATTTATAGAGTACGCTTGCTAGTGTGAGTAAAAGGCGCTAATCCAGAACAATTCAAAAGTTTAGCCGGAAGTATCCATCCATAAAACTCTGTGCAATAAGCGCCATCTAGTTCTTAGCGTGTCAACTAGATTTATTTGTAATCCCAAGAAATTAGAGTGGCTTTGATAAATTGTAACTCGTAAATGTAAAACAAATTAGTTGTGTACAATGTAAAAATAGCTATTAAGTACCCACCGCGACCTCTAGTGTAATAATAAGTACTAAATACCCCGTCTTGTACTGTGTATAAATAGTCTAGTGAATTATTGGTCCATGGTTTCACTGACGTTATGGTATCAGTATCAATAATCCGGTATGACATGGGTTTTTGTAGCAACTGTGTATTGGTATGCAATTACGATAGCAGATTTGACAGATTACAATAGTGAGGTCAAATCTCAATTAATTATCGAAAATAATATAATCAAATGCCAGTCGCGTCTATATGTTTTTATATTTATAACTAGTATTGTAAGGGGTAGCTGATTGCTATAATAAAACTATTTAATACTAAAATAAAATCTTTCTTTATTCATTTTTATGTTCAATTTTTTTTTACGGCCGCTACCGAACGTAGCAAATAAATTGAGAGTCGTATTAAATACCGGTAAATATATCGGCTTTTCATTGGTACCGCTATTCATGTATCGAAATGGAAAACTCCAGTATGGTTAATGTGTTTTTCTATATAGGTACCAAGCCCCGGTAATAGGTACACTCGAGAGCAATTAAACCGAGTCACTAATATGTCGGAGGGCTAATAAAAAACTCTGTTATAGACCATTTTAATAGTTCTCAAAGAAAATCTGTTAGTTACTAGTAATAATATTGCTCCCGAGTATAAATGTGTATGTGACAGGATTTAAAAGGAAAAAGCTTGAAATAAATTCCTACTTACATTTAAAAACACTCTTGGTATTAGGAAGGAGATCTCCGCCTTACACATTGAGTCGAATTGCTGGAACAAAAGAAAATAATACAATAAGTACATTCGCTCTCGGAAAGCAGGAGCTTTCAAAGTAGATATTAATTTCGAAGAGACGTCAACATATGGCATAAATAGAATACTATAAACAAAGCTGTGTGTTATATTGTACACATTTGAGTCTTAAAACATAATGTACATTGTATTTCAGATATTACACAACTTGTTCCACGAATAAATACATCATTATACATCATTTCGGTTTATTAAACATCACACGTTACCACATTGTTTCATCATCATTGTTGAGGATTATTTAAAAGGAGTACTAGTATTTTATACAGCTTACATTCATTTATTGTATTTACTTGAAAGGTACAAGTAAATAACTTCTCAAGTTAGTCACTCATAAAAGCGCCACAGCCGCGGCACGTGCGCGTCACTTTTGCAGACATAGGGTCGTATTCCAGAACAGTACTCAATGCTCAAGTCAGGATTTGAGCAGACTTGAGTATGATTTCAAGCACTGGAAATACGACTCTAATGGCAAGGACTTGAGTATGATTTTCAGTGCTTTAAATCACACTCAAGTCCTGACTTGAGCATTGAGTAGAGTTCTGGAATGCGACCCTAAGCAGCGGTAGATGCTCCTTGTAAAAGAGTTCGTCCAGGGAAGTACTGCGACCTTACCTATTTCTGCCGCCAAGCAGTCATGTGAGCGTTATTGCGTTTCGGTTTTGAAGGACACGGGTGCTGGTGAAATTACAGGTGCATGGGACTTGTCGACTTATGTCTTAGGATGACGGGCGCAGAGGCAGTGCCCCTCAGATTTTTGTGATAACATTGAGTGGCACTGCAACTGTTATGGACAGTCGTGTCGCTTATCACGATTTGTTGATTCCATCACTTGATATCATAAAAAACTATACTATCATTCTCTTACAGTTCCCTTAGTGAGGACTTATAATTATGTACAAATTGGTTATCTTTGTAGAGCGAACAACTTTGGACAGTGTACTGAGTGCATATATTAATTCGTTAAAGCGTAAACACGCAGATGTTATTTTACTTAATGTCATTGAATAATTCATGATTGAAATCGTTTAACGGAAAAGGAATACTTTCCATTAACCGTTCATGAAAATTTGGCAAATCTAAGAATGATATATACCACCAGTACGGGCTGGATATGATTTGTCGGGAAAAACAAATATACGCAATTTAGATACGAATAATCTCAGTACAGAGTACTAAAAAAACCGACCTCAAAAGTAAGTGGAATTACGTCTATTGGCGAAGTTTTATTGAAATATCCCCTAGTTCGCCACTATACAGACTTGACACTGGAGAGAATAAAAATCGGTTCTGACTACTCAAAGTATATTGAGAGAGAAACGCCTTGAATTGGAGAAATAGCAAAATCAACCATTAAAGTAATTGCTCGTAAATTAAAGTTAGGCGCTATTTATAAATATGAATCTTCATGCATGAACAGCCACCTTTCGAGGTGGATGCTTTTCTTCAAAATGAAATGGGACCGCTATGGAAGTACCCCCTTTCCAACAAAAAAAGAATCATGAAAATCGGTTCACAAATACCGGAGTTATCGCGTAACATACATACAAAAAAAAGTTTCTTTTTCTACGTGTAACAATCGCGACAACCTAAGAATCCGATATATACACCAGTAGGGCTAAAACAAACAAGCGCGACTTGCGCGAGAGCGACACAAAGCGAGAGAACTCTATGCGAGAATAGCAGTATTTCGCGGTTCATGTCGCTCTCACGCTAGTCGCGTCCTGTCGTGCCAGCCCTACAGAAGGGAATGGATGTGGTTTGTTTGAAAAAAAACAAATATTTATTTAGATCCGAAAAAATAGTTTCATTTCCTGAATAGACGTAATTTCACAACCTATTGAGGTCGGATTTTTTTTAAAGTAATTATTAAAATGACTTGATATCACGAGTTGGCAATTACTGACCGTTCGAGATTATGCATCGAGTATATAACCAGAAATAGAGACGAAATGTTATTTAATTTGTTTGAAAACTATTCTGCCAAATCACTGTGACAACTGCGCTCCGATTGGCCAGCCGGAATTCGAAACAATTGACGGGTGTCGTCAATTATTTCACTTCGACCAGTTTAACTTGATCTTTGTTATAATGAACGAAAATTGCAAAATTACATATTTAATATTTAATTATTGATGAAAAGCGATTCCGATTGTTTTGTAATTACATGTTTTGCTGTTTTTCCCACACCACCGAATGGAACAGCCCTCATTGTTAGATATTATCTTTATTACAATAAATGCAGAATATTTTTGGAATATAAGGAGACGTACGCATATGGCAGTTGTTGGTGCTGTATTATTTCAGTTTTCTAATTTGTGATTTCAGCGCAAACGAGAGTTGATATTTAAAAGTGATATAAGGCGCATTTAGCTAATGAGTTGCCAAGGATGGACGGCTCTTATTTCGTCTCTATTTCTGGTTATATACTCGATGAGATTATATTAATACTCTGGACATGTTGAGTCAATGGTAATCGATTATTAATCAATAATCGATAACCATTTCCTGCTCGTTGAACGATTGTTAAGCTTGGCTACCGTGAACAATAAGCAGTGAATTGACGAAAATGGGGTGCCAGTATTTTATTTATATATGGAGCCTGGAGCGACATTGTAGCGCTTCTGGCATGTTTATACAAGCTCATCCTGTCCTCATCAAGTCCTGTATCATCATGAGACGTCGCATAGCTTCTTTTATGGAAAGGCATGGACTGATCAGCAATGGCTTAACTCGAGAGCTGTTTGTTTGCTGTTGCTGAGCTGTCCATTTATCAATGTGGTCTGTGCACAGGGTAAATTATGTTTCAGAAACCAATAAAACTTCTTTATTTTCACATCACCACGAAGCTTAGTCAAAATAAGGAAAAATGACCCGTTCACACGTCGGCATCCTGCTCTTTGCTGGAACGGTTTTTTGCAGGAGTCTATTTATTGGCAAACGTGTTTCATACTTAGTTGGTATACATACGAGCACCACGCTTATAGGATCCTGGAACGTCCGCTATCTCTTAGAATGCTGCAAGAAACAAACCATTCTTGCAATATTAGTAATTATAGTTTTTTTTATAAATACAACAGACCTCAAAAGTTTGTGGAATTACATCTATTTACCAAGTTTTATTGAAATCAGTCAACGGAAAGTGCGTGAAATACAATAAGCCGAATTCATTCCCTAATTTACCATCTTCAGAGATAGAATTTAATTACGTTTGAATTTATTTAAATTTATTTTTATAACATCATGTGAAAATGAAAATGAAAATGAAAATTTATTTGCTTAAAATATGGTAAACAAAAGATGGAACACAGTAGAGAAATAGAGCTCATATTTTACCACATTTGGCATGCAAAATTATACTTATAGTGATTGAATTAAATTGATTAAATTACAAGTAATGTCAGTAGACATGCACAAAACAGTTAAAGTTCTAAATTTATTTCAATACATAGTCAATACATAGTCAATTGTATAGTCAATATAGTCAAAAGTGACAAACAAGTCGTACGCGTGATGGTACAGTTACAGTGCCACTCAGAGTTTTAAATTGCAAAAATCTGAGTGGCACTACCACTGCGCCCGTCACCCTGTGACATAAGTTGACAAGTCCCATGTGCCAGTCACCAGCACCTTTACCCTTGAAAACCGGAACACAGTAATGCTGATATTACTGCTTGGCGGCAGAAATAGATAAGGTGGCAGTACTACCCTGGACGAATTCTTTCACAAGGCGCTCTACTGCTACATGGAACCACTACTAAGGTACCCCTTTACCAACAAAAAAGAATCATCGAAATCGGTTAACAAACATGTACCCTCGTGCATTTGAAGTCGATTAATAAAATAATAACATCATCATGATAAATCAGCTGTATTGTGACAATTCAGTCTTGACAGATATGCCTATCCCACTTTCTAGACATGACATTATACTTGTGAAGGGAATCTGTAGCATCACGTGGCTGCTAGATATCGATATACTCCAAGAGAACCAAGCATGTCACATTTTTTGCACCTCCGATGACGTCACAAGCGCTGTTTAGTGATGGGAAACCTACCTAAAGTGATTGATTGAATCGAAGGCGCAATAGGTGCAATATGTTGACCCGCAGCTTTGCACGCTGTACTACAAACGTGAAGCTCACGCTTTTTAAAGCATTTTGCCAATCATTTTACACGTGCAGCTTGTGGGTCAAGTATACACAGAAAGCGTATCGCGCCCTGTGCGTCCAGTATAATGACGCACTCAGAATGCTGTTGGGGTTGCCGCGCTACTGTAGCGCTTCAGGAATGTTTGACGAGGCGCGTGTGGACGGTTTTAGCTCCATTTTGCGGAAGCGGGTGGCATCCCTGATGCGCAGGGTGCGGGGCAGCGCCAATGGCATTCTTCGAACAGTGGCCGAGAGGAACGATGGGCCCATATTGTATAGGTGGATAAGGGTACATTGTACATTCTAGATAACACTTATTAACATAGATGGTAAGGATTTTGTTACTAACAATTTATGGATATCTTGTCTGAAATAAAGATTTTTATTTCATTTGATTTGAAGGCGCAAGTATTTAGTATAATCATTTTTCGAGTATTTATTTAACATAAGAAGTAATTATGTAACTATGCACGCTCCGTCCTCGACCTCATCGTTGATTTCCATCATGTGAGATCGAGGTCAAAACGCGATGAATAGCATTCAATTGTAATTTCGGGAACACAATTGCCAGCAGTGTATTCCAAATTGTCCGCTGCAAATGAGGTTCCCAATCAATTTGGATATTACTTCATAAAGTTTGAAATTATAATCAGAGCTATCATTAGTTGGTGCTAAATTACTTGTAAACTAAAGCCGAATCCAAAATTCGAATACAAAAACTTTCAAGGATATGAAATCGTTAATCAATACTAATTTTCGTGTACATTTGTTGTTTATCTTTAATATCTTTACCACGATATTGTTTCT